GTCATCTTTCTTTTATGCATGCCCGTACTGAATCAGCGTAGCTAGAGGTGTGGGCAGAAAATTCCAAAAATTCACTGCACTCTGAAGTAATTCCTTATCTCAGTCCCAAATGGCTTGACCCTTATTTGGAAACTGTTTGCCCTTTGGTTCTGGACCCACCCCCAGTAGGGGAAACTCCCTTTATGCATCTGCTTTGTATATCTTAAGAATTTTGTACACGTACTTTAACTTGCCTCTTTGTCTTTTGAAAATCTAGAGAATATAGAACCAGTTTCCTCAATCTGTCCTAGGAAAATTGTGCCATCCCAACAATTAGTCTGGTGAGCCTTTGCAGCACTTGCAAATTGTAAAATGTCTTAAATACTAGCCACTTAAAATACCGTAACATCTTTTTTTTGGGATATATTTACCCAATGAACCCCAGTCAATCTACTCCTAGTATCTTCATAAGCCATTTGGTCCATAAAGCCTGCTTGCTGTTCTGTTGTAGATTCTTCTCAATTGAATGTGCTGACCCCAGCTCTTATTTCCATAGCTAACCACCTTTTTGCCTTTTCTTTGTAAATGTTGAATCTCCTCAAATAATCTGTTCCAAGCATTGGTCACCTTTCAGTGCTGATTGCATGCAGCTGACTGGCATGCCTCTCCAACTCCAAGTTGAGTCACGATGATACAGGAGTTTGGTGATGTTAACTGCTCTCTACACTGGAACTTAGTGCTCAGTGGGTTAATGTCGAGCTTTGTCAGAAATGTGGCCTTTGAAGTGGGCTCTAAGTAAGTGGAAGAGTTTAAGGATGAAATAGAGATTTAGTATACCAACGGTGGGGCAAAAGTGGTGCATTCGAGGCCAGAGTCTGAAGAAAGTTTGGCGTGTGTTAGAGGAGATTTGTACAAATAGGTCAGGTCAATGCTATTAAACAATTTTCGCGCAAGTCTGACTACATTAATTGCAAATAAACTTTACGTTATCTTCCAACTTTTTTGTTCCCTGATTTCTCCCCAATTTTTTTTCTTTAATATGCATAATACAATAGAAGTGAACTGATCCAATTAGTTGTGGCAGCCTTATTGTCTTCGTGCCCGTTACAGACCAGACCAACTCCCTCAAAATACATTTTAGATGATAGCCTAGAAACAACATTTCCTTATTTTTAAAAGGCAAGTGTAAGGTATTGTGTTCCAGACGTAATTGAATTGGTCAAACTACCAGGCTTGAAGCAAAACACACTTTATTCTTAGATGATGATAATTAAAATACAAACAAAAGAAAGAAGAATTGGAATAACTTAATCCAATGGAAAACTTAACAGAATAATAGATATTGAAACAGTTGCTATTTAGTAGTTAAATATAGTAACATCCCATAATTGTGCCCTTTAGCAAAGGCAAATTCAGGAAAGTAGATCGTTTCACATGCAATGCTCCAGTCTAGGAGAAAAGAACCTAAAGAGAAAACTGTGTGAGTGCGTGTGTGTGTGTTGGGGAAGAGAGAGAACTGAAGCATTTTGCTGTAGCAGGAAGAGATGTATAGAAGCTTCCAAACCCTAGCAGCTACTGAAAGTTAAACTGAAATCCTGATTCTGTGGGAACTTGATCTCACCCCTTCATGCTGTGTCTATTGTTGCAACTTAAGTTTTTTTTTTATGGCCTCAAGCTGTTCACTTTATTGGTTTGTGCGGACCATTTGGTACCTCTGTCTCAACATCTCGTCCTTTTTTTTTTAAGAGAAAAATGAAAATGTACACCTCCTTAAAGCCATAGTATCATCACAACCCCCCACCCACTGTCCTAGATGGTAGAGGGCATGGGTTTGGAGGATGCTGTCAAAGGAGTCTTGGTGAATTTCTGTGGTGCTTGTTGTAGATTGAACATCGTGCTGCCACTGTGCCAGTGGTGAAGGTACTGTAAACAATAGGTAAATTACTTGAGTTGTGAATGCTGCTGAATATTGTGCAATCATCAGTGAATATTCCTGATTCACACCTAATGAGGGAAAAGGTCATTTGATGCCGCTGAAGATGGTTGGGCTAAGTGCACAACCTTGAACTCGGACATAGATATCCTGGAGCTGAGATGACTGACCTCTAACAATCACAACCATCTTCCTTTTGTGGTAGGTATGACTCAACCAGTGGAGAATTTTCTTCCAGGGAGGGTTCCTGGATGTCACATTTGGCCAAGTGCTGCCTTGATGTTCAGGACAATCACACTTGTCTCTCTTTTTGGAGTTCAGCTCTTTTGTCCATGTTTAAACTAAGGCTGTAATGATGTAAGGAGCTGAGTGGTGCTAAAAGAACCCATCTATGTATCAGCGCACAGGTTATTTGTTTGCAAGTGCCGCTTGATAACATTGACCATGCCATCACTTTGCTAATGATTTGAGACTGAGAATTGGTAATTGGACTAGGTTGGATTTGCCTTGTTTTGTGTACAGGACTGAACTGGGAAGTTTTTACATTGCTGGGTAGATACCAATGTTCTATCTGTACTGGAGCAGCCAAGCTAGGGGTGTAGTTAGTTCTGGAGCACAAGCCTTCAGTATTGTAGCTGAAATATTGTCAAAACCTGTAGCCTTAGTTGAAGGCACTGAATTCCACGTTTCTTTATCACGCTGAGTAAATCAAATTGATTTGAAAACTAGCATCTGTGATGCTGAGGATCTTAGGAGAAGTTTAAAATGGATCATCTCCTTGGCACTTCTGGTTGAAGATGGATGCAGTTGCCTTGCCCTTTTCACTTGTGCTGTGCTCTCCCAGCATTGACAGTTGGTACTTTGTTAACTTCATTCACAGGATTAGGGTGTCGCCAGCTCGGCCAGCATTTATTGCCCATCCCTAATTGCCCAGACGACAGTTAAGATTGAACCACGTTGTTGTAGGTCTGCAGTCACATGTTAGCCAGACCAGGTAAGGATGGCAGTTTCCTTCCCTAAAGGGCATTAGTGAACCAGATGGTTTTTCCAACAATCGACAATGAATTCATGGTTATTATTAGACTGTTAATTCCGGATTTTTTTTTTTTTGAATTCAAATTCTACCATCTGCCTTGGTATTTGAACCCGGGTCCCCAGAACATGACCTGGGTCTCTGGATTAACAGTCTCGCAATAATACCACTAGGCCATCACGTCACTTTTTATGGAGCCTCCACCTGCTGTTTAGCTGTTTTAATTTCCACCACTATGACTGGATGTGACAGGACTGCAGAGCTTGTATCTGAGCTCTTGGTTGTGGGATTGCTTACCTTGTCTATTATATGCTGCTTACACTGTTTTGGCATGCGGAGCCTCCTGTGTTGTATCTTATTCTGGTTAACACTTCATTTTCAGGTATGTCTGATTGTTGCTTCTGGTCTGTCCTCCTGTACCCTTCGTTAAATCAGGGTTGGTCTTGTGACTTAGGGCAGTGGTATAGTGGGGAATATGCTGGGCTGGAAGTTTTAGCTTGTGGTTGAATACAGTGCTGGTGATGACCTACAATCCCTTGTAGATGCCAAGTTTTGAGTTGCTGGATCTGTTTGTAGTATACGTCATTTAATAAGGCAGTAGGGTATCTTTTAATGGAGGATGTACGCAATGTGAAGGTGGGATTTCATTTCTACAATTACTGTGTGTGGTTGTTCCTGGTGATAATCATGATGTGTCTGCAGCAAGTAGATTGAGGTCAAGGTCATCACTTGAGGGGGAGGCAGTACGTGGCAGTCAAAAGGAGGTTTCTTGCCCGTGTTTGACCTGATGCGTGTTGTGGCTCCAGAGTCAATTTTGAGAACTCCCAGAGCAATTTCTTCCTAACTGCACCACTGCTGTTAGGTGGGTCAGGATATGCATTGTAAAAGTGGTAGTGTCTAGGACAATAGCTATTTCCCCCTCTCCTGGCTGTCTCCAGGTACAGTTTTGTTCGTATGACTATGCCAAGCTGATGCTTGACTAATCTGCAAGATGGTGCTCTAAGTTTTGGCAAAAAAGCCATGTTTTGGCACATCTTAGCAAGAAAGACTTAGACTTTGACAAGAGTTAGCAAGATCAGTTCTGGTGGCTAGGTTAAGTTGTCTGGTTTTATTCCTTTGTTTAGTCTTTGTATTAATTTGATATAACTGTGCGGCTTGTTAGGTTAATTCAGACAGTTCAGAGTTACCTACGTTACTTTAGTTTTGGTGTCACATGTAGGCTGGATGAGGGAACGATGGCAAATTGCCTTTTACGATCATGAGCACATGGTCCATTGTTCTATTAGGGTTTAATTGATCTGCACTGGTGACCACAGGCTTTAACCCAGGTCCTGGATCAGTATTCCAGTGACATACCTGTTATGTCACCACCACTCATGGAAGAAGCTGTATGTTGTGACCCAGCTATCACTGGGGGAAAACAATGAAGAATACCATACTGCTTCCCAGTTTGCTTAACAGTACCTTTCTTGGGTCCCTATGCTCTTCATTTTTGTACTTTAATATACTGTTTCGATTTGTTGGTTTTTCTGTTCTATTTCTGCAGAAACTGCACTGCTTCCTCTGTAAAGTTGTATGTTATTGGTTTTCAAGTTAAAACTCCTGTAGTTTAGAATTTGGCACCTTTTTTATAGTTGTAGATCTACTGTGTGTTTGAAAAGGAGCAATAGTCAGCTATTTTAGGTGATTGTGCTAATTGTTAGGAAAATCCATATGGGAGCATGCTTAATTGAGTCATTAAAAATCTTACTGGTGAACTAGAAATTCCTTCGTGTGTTAGATGTTGGTTTCTGCATTGACCATGTGCTTATGGATAGCAATTGAAGTCCTGTTCTTTACCAAAAATTGCACCAACTTAGGTTTCAGTTATGCTGAAAATCAAGAGTTCTAAACTTGAAGTTTGAAATTACCATACATATGACATCATCATGTAAAAAATATGAACCATGTCTGCTAAAAATCCATTTGAATGAAAGTAGAAGGATAGCTTGTTACAAAATTTTGTTTTCAGCTTGACACAATTCATTAATTGCTATATGTGCTTTTTTTTTGCAGATCTCATTCAGTGTACAAATGAGATGAATGTAAACATACCTCAGCTGGCAGATAGCCTTTTTGAAAGAACTACAAATAGTAGCTGGGTGGTGGTATTCAAGTCTCTCATCACAACTCATCAAATGATGGTTTATGGAAATGAGGTAAGTTTCAAAAAATATTTAGATCATTGGTTGTGAAAGGTGAATGAAATGAAATGTTTCTGTTTCATTGCCCATTTCTGAGAAGGTTTAAAGTTAAGCTTTTTAAATAAGGATTAATTGTGAAAACCCAGATTTTTTTTTTTTGGCTTTGCTGAGTAAATAAATTATCATTGTTCCGAAAATGACCATTACTGAAATATTTCTCTTATCCTTGATATCTTGACAACTATATTTTGTTCCTTGCTGGCAACAGATAGCATAGGAAGAACTTGCATTTATTTTGTGCTTTTTGTGCCCTCAAGACATTGCGAAACACTTCACAACCACTTAACCTTGAATGCCATTCTAAGATTTTGCAGCAAATACAGTAGATTATTTGTGCATGGTGAGTTAGATGCATGGCCAGTTGATGTGTTTTGTGGGAGAAATGTTGCCGAGGGCAACTCCACTTTGAATGGTGTGATGGTATATTTTACTGCCACCTGAACAGGCAGTTTGTATCTCGACTTTATTTCCCTCCACTTCACTTCATTAAGCTGTACACTGCAATTCTAGAATGGGACTTGAATCTTCAACCAATTGAGTATTACCATGAAACTAAGCTGTTAGGTGACTCCATTTCTGAAGAAGGGTCCAGACCCAAAACGTCAGCTTTCCTGCTCCTCTGCTGCTTGGCCTGCTGTATTCATCCAGCTCTACACCTTGTTATCTCCTCTTATGTTAGGTGACTGCTTGGCTTTCTGATAATCCTGTTTTTAAGTGGAGCATTTTAGAGGCATCAAAAGTTGTCCTATCTAAATAGCACTCAAATAGTGCTGGAGCATTTTGCTGAGCATAAGGTTGTAGGGAAACATACTTATTAGGTTGTGTAAGTAACACCTTTTGAATGCAACAGTATGAAGTTGGCAACTTGAGAACAATATTTGAGCTTGGGTGAGATGCATTATGCAAGGTTAGGCCTTGTATAACCATTTAATATTTCTTTTAAAGGTACAATAATGTAAAATATTTGGGTTTTGGGGGGGTTGAGGGAACAACTGTTGTTCAAGCAGAAACTAATTATTTTCTAACCTGTACAGCGTTTTATCCAGTACCTAGCTTCAAGAAACACCTTATTCAACCTGAACAATTTTCTAGATAAAAGTGGGTTGCAAGGTGAGTGTGAATTTAATTTTTTAACTGTTGTACATTGTTGCTTTCAGATAGAAATAATGCACCAATGAATCATGTGAAGAGGGTGCTGATTTGGCTGTATCATTAATGTCATGGAGATGCAGCACGAATAGTTAACTGCCAGTCTTTGTTCTTAGACCAGGCAGATTCTGATTAGCATTACCATAGGAATGCAGCAGGGACTCGGTGGGGAAGAAAGGGATTGTGAGGATGTAATAGATGTACAAATTCCTATTTGCTAAATCAGGGTCCTGTATGTTAATATACACAGCATCTCTGCACAAATGCATTAGACAGAAGGCTAACTAATGTTATAATGGTTTCTGTTGTGATTTTTAGCACAGTTCGAATTAGTTAATCAATGTTGTCCAAGAGCAGAATCACAATATTGGGCTTGTGATTTGAGCACAATTAGCATGCTGCTTGCTGTGAATGGTCAGCACAACATGTTGATGCAGTCTGCCAGTTGCTGGTTCACATACCTGGCGTCACATTAGCCTGACGCTCCTCACATGACTTGTGTGGTCGGCAAAATATCTTCTTTGACATGATGGCAACATCCTGTTACTGGCAATTACCACTCATGGGCGTTTTTCTTCTTCACCTGTGGGACATGGGTGTTGCTGGGTGGGCCAACATTTATTGCACGTCTTTAGTTACCCTTGAGAAAGGCCTGGTTAGCTGATGCCTTGAGCCACTGCAATCCATCTACTGAGGTAGACCCGCAAAGCCATGAGTGAGGGAATTTCAGGATTTTGACCCAACAACAGTAAAAGAGTGATGATTTACTTCCAAGTCTGCATAGTGGATGGCTTCAAGGGGAATTTGTAGATGGTGCTTTTCCCTCTATATGCTGTCTTGTCCTTCGAGGTGGTAGTGGTTGTGGGTTTCAAAGGTATTAAGTAGCTTTGGTGAATTTCTGCAGTGCATCTTGTAAATGGTACACACAGTTGCTACTGAATGTCGGTGGTGGATGTGGTGTCAGTCAAACAGACTGCTTTATCCTGATGTCAAGCCTCTTGAGTGCTGTTGAAGCTGCATTCAGCCAGGCAAGTGGGGAATATTCCCATGCACTCCTGATTTTGTGCCTTTTAGACAGGCAATAGGGAGTCAGGAGGTGAGTTACTTGCTTCAGTATTCCCAGCCTCTGACGTGTTCTTGTAGGCAAGTTTAGTCTAGTTCAGTTTCTGGTAACTCCTGGAGTGATGATAGTGGGGATTCAGTGATGGTAATGGCATTTAATGTCGAGGGGTGATGTTTAGATTGTCTGTCTCTTTGTGGAAATGAGCATTTGTGTGGCGCAAGTCTTATTGCCACTTTTCAGCCCAAGTCTGGATGGTGTTCAAGTTTTGTTGCACTGGGACATTGGCTTTCAGTATCTGAGGAGTCGTGAATGGCACAATCATTGACGAACATCCCCACTTCTAACCTTATGGATGAATGAAGCAGCTGAAGACACTACTCTGAGAAACTGCTGCAGAGATGTTCTAGAGCTGAGATGACTGACCTCTAACAACTACAAGAATCTTCCTTTTTTGCCTGATATGACTCTAACCACCAGAGTTTTCTGTCTGAGTATCGTTGACCTCCGATTTTGCTAGATCTTTTGATGCTGTACTTGGCTAAAGTGGTTTACTGCAAAATAGTAGAATGAGTGAGCTGGCCTTAACCTGTTCAAATTTACGAAAATGATTATTCGGGAGAGGAAAAGATGAAGTATACTGTGCACCATTCAGGGCCAAAAGTAGAATGAGTTTGTGTAAGAGGCAGTGAGTAATGATTTGATCAGAATAGCCACTATTATATAGCCATTGTCAGGCAGGATGGGTTTGATGCATCTTATCTCGGCATTAAGCTTATTCTGGTGAGTGGATGATTAGGGCTGTTATCATGAGATTGTCAATAAAATTGATGTTGCGTGTGGGACTGCAGGATGTCCATGTGTGTTGATCAGTGAATGTAGTCTTTCTGTAAATATGGAGATTGGTAGATTTTTCAACTCGTACATTAAGGAAAGGAGACTTGTTAGATTTCCAAGTTTTTAGATCATGAATTGACCTCATCAATCACCTTTGGACTCGTCAAAGACAGCGTGTCCCTCATTGGCCTGGATGGTAATGATAATATCCTATGCATGTGTGTTGAATTTATAATGCTTCAATATGTATGCCTTAGACTTCTTTCTCCACTACCTCTTGTCTATCAGTCAACATCAATCAAAATGGATTTTTTTAGCATCATCTTAGTGGACCAGGGAAAGAAATAAAGTCAGTGATAGCGGCACAACAGAGATTCATCAAAGACTGAATGTTAGACAGCTAGTCTGGGGCAGAAATGGTGACAAAGTGTATGAGCTGATGCCATTGTTTCAGAAGATGTTGTTAAGGGGCAATCCGTACATGAGCAAGGAAGGAATGAAGGATTGATTCTTCAGGATTCTAGATATAATGTTTCAGAGTGGAAAGATAACCCATTGCAGTCAAATAGATCTGTGTAGACCAAGCAGTGGAACTTGCTGGTTGACCAGCTGGTATTGAAGCAGTGTGCCTCAATTGACCATAGGAAAGATTGGCAGGAGAATGATAGATGATGCGCCTTGGCTTTGGTCCTATAGAATATTGTTTGTTTGTTATTTTTGGACACACACACACACACACACACACACACACACACACACACACACACAGCAAGTCTGAGCAATTCTCTTAATTGGAGGAATGACAGAGGAACTGGCCACATAGTTTCCAGAGAGTTTTGTTACTTGTGACATCAAATCACATTGAGCAAGGAACAAGAAGCAGGTTTGCTCTGCAACCATTCCTGATAGGGTGCAGTATTTACACCAATTGGCTGACACAAATCTAGAAATGATGAAGAAAGTTTTACTGAGGATTCTACAATTTTACCTTTCCAGTCTTCCAAGAAGTATACCCAATGTAGATCAAATGAAATGACAAAACTAAGGGTCCTGAATGTTTGCTTGTACAATAAGAACATTTAACTTCTTGAAGCATAGCATTGAATGTAATGGTATTTCAGTTAATTTTCCTCAAAATGAATTAATGACTCATCTGTGTTAAAGATAACTGCTGTTAAAGGGTATATGGAGTTAGGTTGCAGATCAGCTGTTAACTTGTTGAGTAGTAGCATAAGCCTGAGTGACTAAATGACCTACTTCAATTTCTGTGTCCCTCTTCAATATGTTTTGAGATGGGTATTTGTTATCTTCTTTTGTGTGATGGTCTGGTATAATCACCTATTCTTTAAATATGACATTTGTATTACAAAAAAAAAACACAAACTGTTCTTAATGCTGGAAATCTTGTTGGAAAGATGTGATAATAGTTTGAATGGGGAAACAATGTGTAGATTGGTTTCCTGAACTTTTCTATGTCCAGGCATAAATTTGCCCATATCTACTTCATAAACAATTAACAAGTATTTAACAAAATTATTTTTTCTACTGACAAACTGTAATAAATGTTTATTCTTCATGAGGTGCTACGGTTTTTAACGTAGATCTTTTGTGTGTTTAAGGATACGACATGTCTACTTTCATCCGGCGCTATAGTAGATACCTAAATGAAAAAGCAGTCTCCTACAGACAGGTTGCTTTTGACTTCACAAAGGTGAAAAGAGGGTAAGGACAAATAACAATCAACAGTAACATGATTCTGCCAAAATTGATTTTTCCTTTGTATTGTTTACTTAGGTAGCTGCAGCTCAGTGGGAGCCAATAGTTATGTTGTACCTGCTGATCATCTAGTAACCTTTGAGTTGTCTTAACAACAAGTCTTTAGCACATGTATGACCTATAATTTGATAATCCTAATTCGGTATTAGATTTGTATCTTGATGAACAAGAAAGAAATGATTTCCTTTTATGAAGGCAGTGACAGATGCCTCATGCCTCTCTTTGGCACTTCACCCAAGTGGCTGTTTTTCATGGTGATTATCAGTAAATGATCTGACTTTGTAGGGAGCATAGTGACAAAGCATCTGACTCACTTTGCCCAAATACAAAGCGCAGTACTGTCTTATGATTTTGAATGTTTGTAGAATCTCCGTAGTAATGATTGGAAGATTCAACAGGTACACGTTAAAATTGTTTTGTTTGAGGATCCTGGTGGATACTGCCTGCCATCATAAAACACTCCTATCCCTTGGTCTGAGCAAAGAATAGATGAAGTGTACTTTCGTATTTCTTCAATGGCACCAATGTCTCAGTGCAGATTCAACTGTGGTCAGAAGATTACTGGCAACAGTTGATAGCAGTCCAGAATCAAGAATCTGTCTCTGACAAAGCGGAGTTCATGGAATGGCTGGCAATCGTCAGGGTCTACTTGTTTGTAGTCAGGATTTGAACCTCTGCCTTTTTAAACTTGCCCCAGAATGGGATTTGGGGAAACACCAGTAATGTCTAAAGTCACTTCACTTGGTCAGCTAATTTAAACGAATACCAAGGAGCAAGCCTATGTGTGACTCAATAGGAAATGGTTTCCATGCATGTACCCATGAAGCCATTTGTAGAATGTTGTTTAAAAATACAAATCAAAATTAAATCAATTTCTTAGTTCATGACTAGGCAGCATCAGAGGAGCAGGAAAGTTGACATTTCGGGTCAGGACCCTTCTTGAGAAAAAAAACTTCTGAAGAAGGGTCCCGACCCGAAATGCCAACTTTCCTGCTCCTCTGCTGCCCGGCCTACTGTGTTCCTCCAGCTCCACACTGTGTTATCTTTGACTCCAGCATCGACAGTTCTTACTATCTCTTAGTTCATGACTGTCTTGATTTGCAAATATTGGTCTCTGGCTTGGGGGTGCTGGCAGAGGAGGAGAGAAACAATGATGGTTATGGATTTAAAAATGAGGAAGAAGAGGAGAATAACATTACAAGTATGCATGTCAACTTGAATTTTTTTTTCTTTGATTAAATAAAAATACTATCGGCCATGTTGCTTTACCTCTGGAAAAGAATGAGTCACCTTCATGTTTCTGCCCTTTGTACTGTAGCTGCATTTCAAAGCAATTTATGGCATTATTAAGCACTCTGCAATGTTTTAGTTATGTAGAAAAGCACTAATGTTACGTTTAAGAGTATGTCCTCCTACAGTATAATATGTACTATAATATGGAAAGAATCATTACAAATGACTGAAGCCAGTTAAATTAAATAATTTATGAAAACGGCAGAGGGGAAAGGATAAAAGTTACACAGGCCAGTCTTTACATTTGTGGTTTTATAATTTTTCTCATGCTTTCATGTGCTTTACTTCAATTGCTTTGAAATGCAGCCAGTATTCTGTGGAAGAATTACACTATTGTTTGTTCACAGTCCAATCTAATAATCTTCCACAATTTGGCTTATGAAACTTTTCCAGAAACACTTAAATGCTGCTAAGTGGTCCTTCTTAACCACCTTTCATACAATAACAAGTGATAGTAGGAACTGCTGATGCTGGAGAATCTGACGTTTCGGGTCTGACCCGAAACAACATCAGCTTTCCTGCTCCTCTGATGCTGCCTGGCCCGCTGTGTTCATCCAGCTCTACACCTTGTTATCTCGTACAATAACAATCCAGGTTGAGACTTTGAACGTAACAATACCCCTGTGCTAGTAGTTCCATATTGCAACTGTTTGTATGACTTGAACATACTTTCAATAATAAACTGGCTAAAACTGTAATTTATATTTCAGCTTTGAATAACCGATGTCCTGTAAAGTTCAGCATGCCCTCCTTGTTTCATACTTATTACTGTCCATTTATTATTACTATACATGAAATTCAGACTACCATGAGATGGATTTGTGCAGCCTCATTCTTAATTTTCCACTTGTTGGCACACTTTTTAACATTCTTTTGCTAGACTGAGGAGACTGCATCTGTTCACTGTTGAGGAATATTGGAATTGTAATTAGTTCATTGCATACATCTCAGATATGTGCACCGTATAGTTTTACCACGAACTATATCACCGATCAAGGTAATGCAACTGTGTATTTTAGTCATTATTCTACAGTTTTAGCTAAGCTACTGACAGTGTATTTAGTCATACTAGCTCTCCTGACGATAAGCTATTTTAGACTTGTTTATGTAAGCATTTTACATTTAATATGTACTTATTTCATCAGGGCTGATGGAGTTATGAGAACAATGAGTACAGAGAAATTGCTAAAGACTATGCCCATTATACAGAATCAAATGGATGCACTGCTGGACTTCAATGTGAGTTTTGTTTCTGGCATATAAGCTTCCTTTTGGATATAGTAGTTCTGAGTGTTTTTCAGATATAGCCACAGATTTATTTAAATGTAAAGGGTACTTCCATGGATCGAATTGTATGCTCGTGTCAATTGGGTGAGTAATTGCGAAAATGTTTTCCTTGACATGGCAGATAAACCCAAGATTTGCACAATATGGAGCCAGCAGACCAGTTTTCTATGTAATTCTCTGGAAACTGCTTTAATTTTGATACCCATTAAAATTTCATAATTGATTTATTTAAATTTGATTAAAATATGCTCTCCTATATTTTTCCTTATGCAAATGACTAATGGGTCATTTACTATTAAATGTATTGGAAGTAAGAAATTAAAAAAACAAGAATCAAATGTGCAAAGTGGTTGTAAAATAAAGGAAGCCTGCAGTATTTTGGAAAGTATATTTTAACAATTTAGAAGAATGTCAGTGCAATAATGTTTGGGTTTGAAATATGTAATGAAAATTGGGAATTGAAACATAATTTCCTTTTACAAGCAATAACTCAGCATTATATAGTTGTGCAGAATGGGAGGCTTTCCCACGGTCCTTCTCGAGGCTGGTCATTATGTTGTTAGATAATGCATGCCAGTTTGCCTCTGCTGCCACCACACTGAGACCTCTGAGTTGTGTGGCAGGCGATGTGGAGGAGTAGGCATTCAGTTGTAAGTAAATCTGTTAGAATGTTTAAATTTATTGTCAAGTCAAACCATAATGTGTCCAATCATCTTCATTGCCTTTTTGTTTTGAAGATGTCATCAGGCCCTGGATGGACTTTCTCATTTTACTTTTTTGTGGATGGTCACGATATCCCAGATCTCTGGTGTCCAGTAAATTTACTTTACCAATATACCTGGTATAAGAGGATGTGATATTTTTCATTGTCTTTTTTGTGTTCACTTGAGTCTTAATTTTTAAGTTTCTTTCCCCCTTTTGTAATATTGTGCTTTTGACTCAGCAGTACTTCACATTTGAATTGTGTCTCAGTATTGCAAATATAGTTTGGGGAGTGGTGGAGAAATTTCATAACAATATAAAGCTGATTTGTATTGACAGAATTGATGTTTTGCGGAACCAAGTGGCAGAATTCAATTATTTTTGAATGTGAATTGTTACATTTGGTAAAAGTCCAACTGTTGCAATTTAGTGAAAAGCTGGATCATGTAGAAGAGTAGAGAGAATTGGGGGTGAAGATTCAGCAAAACAACAGTTGAAATAAATAGGGTTATTATAAGCTAATGGAATATTTCTCTTTGTGGCCATAATATAAAATAAAAGTAGAGCTGTGATGATGAGTTTAAATAAAATCTTTCTATTGTATATCTTTTGGACTTGTTCGTAAAGGAAATTTATTGGGAATCTACAACGAGGGAAAGCTTAGAAATGAAGCTGTTGTCATCAGAGTCACAGCTGTACAACATGGAAAAAGACCCTTCGGTCCAACTCGTCCATGCTGACCAGATATCCTAAATTAATGTGGTCCCATTTGCCAGCATTTGGCCCGTATTCCTCTAAACCCATATTAATTTACCTATCCAGATGCCTTTTCAAATGTTGTAATTGTACCCGCCTCCACCACTTCCTCTGGCAGCTCATTTCATATATGCACCATCTTTTTAAATCTTTCGCCTCTTAGCTTAAACCTATGCCATCTAGTTCTGAACTCACCCACCGTGGGGAAAAGACCTTGACTATTCACTCTATCCATGTCCTTCATGATTTTAAAAACCGGTCATGTCACCCCTTGGCCTCTAATGCTCCAGGGAAAATAGCCCCAGCCTATTTAGCCTCTCCCTATATCTGCAAACCATTTAACTGGCACATGTTTCTTCATACTAATGTGTCTCACTGCCTGCAGGTGGGACCTGTGATCTAATTTGTCTATCACAAGCTTGTAGTCTGAATCAATACATCTGATAACTGACCTGGGAGTACTAGAATTTTCCATGATGGAAGATGGAGACTACACGTACATGCTTTATTACCTGTAGTTGCCCGTATTAATTTTGTTTCCCACAGACCACTTGGTGAAATTGTAATTGTATTTGAATATCTATTCAAAACCTTTTTTCTCTTGAAATTCAAATCATGATCAAGAAACATTTTTCTGCTCAATTCTACTTTTTAAAATTGCCGTTGATGCAATGAAGTACTTCACTCCATTTTTATGTCACTCCTTTTTCACATTGGGCACAATAGCTCTATAATAATGTTATTGGACTGGTAACTTCGAGGTCTGGATCTAATTAATGGGGGCGTGAGTTTAAATTCCGTCACGTCAGCTGGTTGGTCTAAATTCAATTGAAACTGGAGTAAAAAGCTACTGAAGTCAATAATGGTGGTCGTGAAGCTACTGAATTATTGTGAAAACCCATCTGGTTCATGAATGCCCTTTCCTGAAGGACATTGGTCAGACCAGGCAGGATGACATAAGTGTGACTCCACGAGGATTGTTTATGACTCCATGCTCTGAGCAATGTGGTTCACTCTTAACTGTCCATAGAAGTGACCTAACGAGCCACTTGGTATAAACATGGAAGTGGCTCACTATCGGCTTCCTGATGGCACTAAATGCTGGCTTGCAATCCCAACATACTTCGAATATATCTTTTTAAAAAAGACATTTTTTGCGTTGTGTATAATGTCTCTTTTTATTCTACTTTTTTCACATTTGTTCACTAGTTTTCCTCTTTCTGGCGCCTGTCATCTTTGTGTGTTTACCTATTTATTTAGGAACGCAAGTAGGCAATTCAGCCCTTTGAGCCCAATATGCCATTTAACATGATGGCTGATTTTATCCTGGTCTCCATTCCACTTTCCTGCCTACTCCCCTTAGCCCTTTACCCCATTTTTCATCAGAAACATATCTATTTCTTTCTTGAATCTGTTGATCAATTCTGCCTCCACTGCATTCTGTGGCAATGAGTTCCACAGATTCACAACCCTCAGAGGTAGTTCCTGCTCATCTCGGTTTTGATCCCTCGCTCCCTCCCTCTGTCCCTCGCTCGCTGGCTCCCTCCCTTGCTCCATCTTATTAGAGGCTGTCCCACAAGGGGGAACATCTGTTCAACGTCTACCTTTATCAATCCCCTTTCGCATTTTGTAAACCAGTCACATCCCCGCCCCCCCCACCCTCCTTCCTCCCTCATCAAACTTCTGAACTCCAGTGAGCACAAGCTTAAGCTATTCATGTGCTCCTCATATGATGGCCCCTTCATCCCTGAAATCAATGTGGTGAACCTCCTCCGAACTTCCTCCAGTACCACTGCATCCTTCCTCGAGGAGACCAAAACTGGACACACTGCTTCAGGTATGGTCTTACCAACACCCTTATTATGGTAATAACACTTCTTTACTTTTGTAATCCAGTCCTTTTGCAATAAATGCCAGAATCCCATTTGCCTTTCTCATTGTATGCTGCACCTGCATACCCACTTTCTGCAATTCTTGCATAGATGCTGAGATCCCTCTGCACTGAAGCATTTTGAATCTGCTTCCTATTTAAATAAGAATTTGCCCCTTTTTATTTTTCCAGCCGACATGCACAACCTCACACTTATCCACATTAAACTCCATCTGCCAGATTCTGGCTTATTCTCCTAGCCTATCAATATCCATCTGCAAACTCTCTATTTCTTCATCACAGCCTACATTCCCAATTACCTTAATATCATCAGTGAATTTTGCCGTGTTACACTCTATCGCTGCTTGCAGATTTTTTTTTTTGGTAGATTGTAAATAGTTGAGGTTCGAGAACTGAACCCTGCGGCACTCACTAGTTCCAGTTTGCCATCCAGCGAAGGACCCATTAATCTCAACCCTCTGCTTTCTGTCAGTCAGCCAATCCTTTATCCAAACCAATACTCTTCCCTCGGGATGTAATTTTCTAGATCAGTTTTTTATTCAGCACCATTGTCTTCTGGAAGTCTAGGTATACCACATCCACTGGATTCCAATTATCCAGCAAGTTTGTCAAGCATGAGTTGCCTTTCATGAAACTGCACTCACACTGGTGAATAACGTTTTAGTTTTCCAAGTGTTCAGTTATCTCTTCCTTTTTATGTTTAACTTGAGCAACTTCTGCATTAGAGGTCAAACAAAAACTGGTCCACAGTTTCCCACTTTTTGCCTGTCTCCCCTCTTGAATAAGGGTGTCACGTTACCATGTTTCCAATCCATTGGTACTTCATCAGAATCCAGAGAATTTTTGAAATGTCATAACTAATGCATCTACTATGTTTGCTGCCACCTCCTTTAATACCCTAGGGTGCAGGCCATCAGGCCCTGGGGACTTATCTGCCTTTAATCCCATCAATTTACTTAAGACATTCTCCTTAATTATAGCGTATTTGTATCTTGACTTATGTTTGTCCTTGTCTTATATTCGTACCAAAACAATAATCAGTGAATAACCTTCATTAAAAATGTATTAAGGATTTTTAGTTTTGTGTGGTGGAAGAACACATTGCAGAAATATTTTCAAAAATTTTCAGGAATTTGTGGGGCCCAATGTTCCTGACTGCAGATTTTGTTATTTTGCTTTCTTAGTTCAATGTAATGCAGTGTAATTCCATTTAACACTCATCATTTGAAATATCCCTCCCACAGCAATATCATGTACTGTGTATTTGATGTTTCAATAAAACATGAATCATATGAAAGCTTTTAATTGTTCAGTTAATGTAAAACTACTTTTGTGACTACAGCAAGAATAGAAACAGATAGAATTGGCAGTTGCAGTTTTGGAATCCTACTCTGGAACCTTTTATCCTAACACGCAAATACTCAATTTCCAAAGACGATTGCATCGTGTCCATGAAGTCTTGTAACTGTGGTCTCATGTAGTTGCAAAAAATATTCTTTTAGAACTTAAAAACAATATGCTAAGTTTGTAACCTCTGATTATTGCATTCACATACGATGGATTCCTACCCCCGTCACGCCCAAAAAATTTATATCTTGGATGGTGTTCGCATTTATTTTCGGATTACAGAAACAGCCAGGAAAACATCTCAAGTAGAAAATGATAACATTGTGATGAACCTGACATCTTTTTCTGTCTCTCAGGTCAGTGCCAATGAACTCACAAATGGAGTGATCAATGCAGCTTTTATGCTTCTGTTCAAAGATGCCATTAGACTTTTTGCAGCTTATAATGAAGGGATCATTAATTTATTGGGTAAGGTTTTATTCTGCTTTGGGACAAGAAATGCAAAACTAGCTGTTAAGGACATCACTTGGAAAATAATTTGATCTGCTGACATGTATTTCATAGATTTTGTAGGCTGAAATGATTAATCTTGGACAACCTATTTTGTAGATAAATTTCTTTATTCTATCTCAATGTCATTGGCCATCCTGTGCATTTTTAAAATTTTTTTTTTGCAAGGGCAAAATGTAAATGTAATGAGGGGGAGTCAGGAGCTTTGCTTAACAATCTAATGCTACTTTTTACCCAACTATTCCATATGGCAAAGTTTCGTTTAATGTTTGTAATGTGGACGTATTATTAATATACGCCCACGTTACAAACATTAAATGAAACTTTTGAATTTTCAACCTTATGGAAATAATCTTTCAAAACTTACTGTTATTACAGTATTCCCTTGGATAAATATAAAACCCTTTGCGTTTGCCTAGTACAAGGCCTATGCATTTAACCCCTTTAGCATTGTATTTAGTCGTTTCCACATCTGGCTGCATTACACCGTTTTGTGGTTGATGCACCACTTTCTTTTCAATTATTGTACGTGTGCGCTCTTCCTGTCCTACAAGCATAATATTTGAGGTTGAAGGATTGATCGGGTGTACATCGGAGTCAAATTTAATATCTGGAAAATATGGGCCAGATAATGAGTATCTATTTACAAATCAAATATGAATTCAAAGTAGATAAGCCTCCAAAAAAAAAGGCTACATTTGGTTGTCCCTTCAGATTAGGAGTATTAAAACATTATCATTATGTGGTACTTAATCAGACTATGATCCATTAACTGAACATGACAGTTGACAAGTTGTCCAGGCTCCAACAGGAAGATTGCAGGGCTGTGAGCTCATACTCCACCATGGGAAATTTAATTAATAACTCTGGAATAAGGTGCTTGTTTCATTAGTGATCCATTATTAAAAACCAAGCTGATTTGTTAGTGATCATCACAGGGCAAAATCAGTCTCTAGCTAGTCTGGTCCCCATGTGACTCCAAGCCCACACCATTATGGTTCATTCTTTAACTATTGTTCAAATTGACCAAGCAAGCCACTTAGTTCAAACCACCACAGGAAACTCTAATAGTAGTGACACCAGATGGATCATTCTGTATTGACCTAGGCACCAAAGCAACAAAGGCATGTCGTGCTTAATTGGCTCTGCACAATCCTCCTCCCGAAGATTTGTAATAAGTGCTAAAAATTGGGAGAGATGTCTCACTGACCAATTCATCTAAAGCCTGATGCAGTCATACTTATTGAATCATGCATTACTACCAATATCCTAGATTATTCCATCAATATTTCTGGATATGTCCTGTTATGGTGATGGTACAGAGTCACTAGCAAGTATGCTGGGAGGCTTCAACATTGACCCTGGATACCATGAAACCTCATGGGCAAAGAAACCCCTGAATACCATCTGTAGTCTTTCATCAGTTGATGAACCCTTCTATTTCCATGTTGAAAACACAAATTGGAAGAAAGGTAGCAAAAGGTGTAGGCTGTACTCTCGGTTTCCAACTAATTAATAATGACTCAACTGTACTCTTGAGTCCTGAAGGAAAAATCTGCAGGTTAGGTCTGTAGCAGGTGGTGAGTGAACCACCAGGATAGGCTCAGAACTGATTTAGCCTCCAGTGGGGCACTGAGTAGCAGCAGAAGTGTATTCAACAGAATATATAACCTCATGGCCTGGCATAACTCTTATCATTACCATCAAGTAAGGGGTTGACCTGAGTTCAATGGGGCATGGCTGTGAGCCATCGGGAACAGCAGAAGGTTAACAAGGTGAAGAGCTGGCCAAGCAGCATCAGAGGAGCAGGAAAGCTGACGTTTCGGGTCTAGACCCTCCTTCAGAAATGGGGGAAGGGAAGGGGATTCTGAAATAAATAGGGAGGGGGGGAGGCGGATGGAAGATGGATAAAGGAGAAGATAGGTGGACAGGAGACAGCCAGGTCAAAGAGGCGGGGTTGGAGTTAGGGAGGGGATAGGTCGGTCCAGGGAGGATGGACAGGTCAAGGAGGTGGGATGAGGCAAGTAGGCAGGAGATGGGGGTGGGGTGGGGCTTGAGGTGGGAGGACAGGTTAGGGAGGCAGGAACGAGCTGGGCTGGTTTTGGGATGCAGTGGGGGAGGGGAGATTTTGAAGCTTGTGAAGTCCACATTGATACCATTGGGCTGCAGGGTTCCCAAGCAAAATATGAGATGCTGTTCCTGCAACTTCGGCTGGCATCGTTGTGGCACTGCAGGAGGCCCAGGATCAACATGTTGCCCAAGGAGTGGGAGGTGGAGTTGAAATGGTTCGTGACTGGGAGGTGCAGTTGTTTGTTGCGAACCGAGCTTAGGTGTTCCACAAAGCGGTCCCCACTCTTCTGCTTGGTTTCCCCAGTGTAGAGGAGGCCACAACGGGAATGGCAGATACAGTGTACCACATTGGTAGATGTACTGGTGAACATCTGCTTGATGTGGAACGTCTTCTTAGGGCCTGGGATGGGGGTGAGGTGTAGGGGCAGGTGTAACACTTCCTGCGGTTGCAGGGAAAAGTGGTGGGGGTGGTGAGGCTGGTGGGGAGTGTGGAGCAGACAAGGGAGTCACGGAGAGAATAGTCCCTCCAGAAAGCAGATAAGGGTGGGGAGGGAAAAATGTCTTTTGGTAGTGGGGTCAGATTGCTGGAAGCAGAAATGTGGGAGGATGATGCGTTGGATCCAGAAGTTGGTGGGGTGGTACATGAGTACGAGGGGGATTCTGTTTTGGTTGTTATTGCGGGGAGGGGGTGTGAGGGATGAGTCATGGGAAATGTGAGAGACACAGTCGAGGGCGTTTTCGACCACTGTGGAGGGGAAGTTGCGGTCCTTGAAAAATGAGGACATCTGGGATGTCCAGGAGTGGAATGCCTCATCTCGGGAGCAGATGCGGCAGAGGCAAAGGATTTGGGAATAGGGGATGGCCTTTTTGCAGGAAGGTGGGTGACGGGAGGTGTATTCTAGGTAGCTGTGGGAGTCGGCAGGCTTGAAATGGATATCGATTTCCAGTTGGTTGCCAGAGATGGAAACAGAGGTCCAGGAAGGAGAGAGAGGTATCCAAGATGGTCCAGGTGAGCTTAAGGTTGGGGTGGAAGGTGTTAGTGAAGTGGATGAACTGTTCGAGCTGCTTGTGGGAGCACGAGGCGGCACCTATACAGTCATCGATGTAACGGAGGAAGAGGTGAGGCTGGGCCAGTGTAGCTTCTGAAGAGGGATTGTTCCACGTATCCTACAAAGAGGCAGGCATAGCTTGGGCCCATGCGGGTACCCATAGCCACCCCCTTTGTAGGAAGTGGGAGGAATTGAAGGAGAAGTTGTTAAGGGTGAGGACGAGTTCAGCTAAGTGGATGAGGGTGTCAGTGGAGGGGGACTGGTCGGGCCTGCAGGACAGGAAGAAGCGGAGGGCCTTTAGACCATCTGCATGGGGAATGCAGTGTATAGGGACTGGACATCCATGGTAAAGATGAGGTGTTGGGGACCAGGGAATCAGAAATTTTGGAGGAGGTGGAGGGCGTGAGTGGTGTCATGGATGTAGGTGGGGAGTTCCTGGACCAAAGGGGAGAAAATGGAGTCTAGATAGGTGGAGATGAGTTCGGTGGGGCAGGAGCAGGCGGAGACAATGGGTCGACCAGGGCAGTCAGGTTTGTGGATTTTGGGAAGGAGATAGAAATGGACGTGGCGGGTTTGGGGAGCGATGAGGTTGGAGGCCGCGGGTGGGAGGTCACCTGAAGTGATGAGGTTGTGGATGGTTTGGGAGATGATGTTTTGGTGGTCGGGGATGGGGTCATGATCAAGGGGGCAGTAGGAGGAGGTGTCCGAGAGCTGGCGTCTGGCCTCAGCGATGTAGAAGTCAGTGCACCATACTACAACTGCGCTTCCCTTGTCCGTGGGTTTTATAGTGAGGCTGGGATGGGAGCAGAGGGCTGCATGTTCTGTGGGTGAGAGGGGTGAAGGGGTTGAGGCGATTAATGTCTCGGCGGCAGTTGGAGATGAAGAGATCGAGGGAGGGTAGGAGGCCTTGGGGTGGTGTCTGGGAGGAGGGGGTGTGTTGGAGGTGGGAGAAGGGGTTAGTAGAGGGAGGGTTAGGCTCACGATGAAAGAAGTAAGCGCGGAGGCGGCAGAAAAACTATTCAACGTGCAAGCGTGAGCTGTATTTGTTGAAGTTTGGGTGGAGGGGGACAAAGGTGAGTCCTTTACTGATGCCTGCCCTTTTGCCCTAGGGGGGGGGAGGTCTGGGGGGGCGGGGGGGGGGTTGGTGGTGAAGACCCGGCAGGGCTGGGTGCTACTGTCTCCTCTGGAGCTGCTGGCTGTGGCACAGCTACCGAGACCCATTTGCCAGCCTTTGGCCCATATTCCTCCTAAACTTATTCATTTACCCAGCCGGAAGCCTTTTAAATGTTGTAATTGTATCAGCCTGCACCGCTTCCTCTGGCACTCACTCCAGACACGCAACATCCTCTGTGTGAAAAAGTTGCCCTTTAGATCCCCTTTTTAAATCTTTTCCCTCTCCCCTTAAACCTGTGTCCTCCAGTTGTGCACTCACCCACCTCATAGGGAAAAGTCTGTCCATCTTATCCATACCCCTCATGATTTTATAAACCTCTATAATGTAACCCCTCGGCGTCTGCTCCAGGAAAAATAGCTCCAGCCTATTCAGCCTCTCCCTATAGCTCAAACCGTCCAACCCTGGCAACATCCTTCTAAACCCTTACTGAACCCTTTCAACTTTTACAACATCTTTCCTGTAGCAGGGAGACCAGAATCGCCCACAATATTCCAAAAGTGGCCTAACCAATGTCCTATACATCAGCAACGTGACCTCCCAACTCTATACTCAATGCACTGACCAATAAAGGCAAGAGTTCTTCACTATCCTATCTATCTGTGACTCCACTTTGACGAAATTATGGATCTGTGCTCCAAGGTCACTTTATTCAGTAACATTCCTCA